TAGGCATATAGTTTCCTACTATAATGTTTCAGAGCATGTTTAAATCTGGACACTTTTCTTTCAGATTATCTCTGCAGTTTTAAAACTGGGTAATACTCCCTTTCCAATTTTAATATTTTGATAGCTGCTATTTTTTAGAATATTTATGATGCCATGCAAAATTATTCCACTATTATAAATGGTTATTTGATTAATAGAACAGATCTCCATTTTCTTGTTTAATTGGTTAATATTTCAATGAACCTGACTAGTTTAATGCTGGCAAATTAAATTAAATAGTGAAAGTAACAGCCTTCAGAGAGGATTCAAACTGTCAATACCTTGCAGTGTTTTCAGTTTCACAGTTCATGTTAAATTTCACACACTTTATGATCCTACCTGAGCATCTTGCTTGGCCAAGGTGATATCCACATTCATGCTTTCATCGCGATTACCCTGGAAACAGATAGGGAAAGGTGAGCGACTACAGCCCTAAACCCAACCCACATCACCAGGCCTCAGGAACACCAGGAATCCATCAACCATTATCATCACAGAATTAAAATTTAGGAGCTTATAAAACAAAAATTAACTGTCTCTTTGAAAGCTAAAAGGTGTCAAGATATGCATGCTACTTCTGGACTTAAGGGAATGTCCTACGTTGAACTGGGAAACAAGAAATGGAGGGTGAACCACAGGACGCAAGAGGAAATTGTGTTTAAAACAGAGAACAGGAGCCATTTCATTATGGGACAAACTAGCAGGCCCTGTTGACGAAGGCTTAGTTCCCTGAAGAAATGGCTAGTCGAAACTGTTATTAACTATCAAATGAGCTAGACAAGCCAAGCGGCCTTCTTCCTGTAAGTGTTGTTGTTTTTCTAGTCTAAAAACGCCCGCCCCACTTGAATGGAGAATTTACTGACTGCAGCCACAATACACAGACCAGAGTAATTGTGCTGTGATGAAAATGCATACAAGGAGTAAGTCAGTTTACAGAGGTTTCTGGATACAGAATTTCATTTGACAAAAAGTTAAAACTCATGTACAACACTGTCAAACACACCTGAGCCAATGAGATGAGAAGCCTGCGGAAATGTCCTGATGTGTCACTGCTAATGGCATCTTCCAAAGTCTTCTTAAACTCTACAATAAAAATATATCTGCAGTGCTCACTGATCATTAAAAACACTAGGGAAAATAGTGCTTGTTAGCATGAAGCATCAGCATCTGGAGAGCAATTTTCATAACCCAAAAGGATGATAAACTGAAAACATAATATTTAACTAAGCAAAACAATATATTCTGAAGAAGGCTCCACGGCCGATGTGTTCTCTTTCTTCTTTTTTTCAGCATGAAATAAACCTATTACTTGTTCCATTGCAGCCTACGCATGCTGACGCAGCTACCCACCTGAATATATTCTTTGCCTTGAAAACATACTCAGAACCTTGCTTGGCTTTCACATTCTGTTGCAAGTTTGAAGTCACGATACATTGAAGTGACAAGACGCTGTCCTTAAGATGAGACGTAAAACCAAGGTCCTGACTCTATGTGGTCATTAAAAATCCCAGGGTGTTTCTTGAAAAGAGTAGGGGTATTATACCCTGGCATCCTGGCCAAATTTCCCCCTGGCCTTTACCAATCATGACCTCCTAATGATTCCCATTTATGAATTGGCTTAATCACTCTTTTCTCTTTCACACTAATTGCTGGTGTGTGGTGAGTGTACTGGCGCACTATGGCTGCCGTTGCATCATCCAGGGTCTGAACATTGGTGGTGGTGGAGGGGATCCCCATTACCTGTAAAGCGCTTTGAGTGGAGTGTCCAGAAAAGCGCTATATAAAAAAGTGTAAGGAATTATTATTATTAATCTGAATGTTCAAAGAAAAATATGAAAAAAGAATATAAGAAGATAACAATATAAGAATATAATATGACTGAAAAGTAGGAAAGTCATGATTGCATAAGTAGTGTTGAGGCAAACCTAATTTATGTGCACAAAATTAACTTTATGTGCCATACGATTAGTTTAATGACCCCAATTAGTTTAGTGTGCAATAATAGTTTTTTGCGTGATATCAGAATACACCTATCTCTTTGAGATTCCTTGGTCATAAATTGGATTTCAAGCACAGACTTAACCATGAAGACTAAGGAGCTTTAAAATTAGGTCAGAGATAAAAATCTTTGAAAAGCACAGATCAGGAAAAGAGTTAAAAAAAAGGAGGTCCCTGAATATCCCTGTGAGCATATTGTATATTCAATCATCAAGAAACAGAAGGTGCTTCAGGCGAAGCGGTGGCTCTGTGGCTAAGGATCTGCGCCTGTGGCTGGAAGCTTGCCGGAATCCTACTCCGTTGGGCTCCTGAGCAAGGCCCTTAACCCCAACTGCTCTAGGGGCACCATATAAAATGGCTGACCCTGCACTCTGACCCCAAGCTTCTCTTTCTGTCTGTGTGTCTCATGGAGAGCAAGTTGGGGTATGTGCAAAGACAAATTCCTAATACAAGAAATTACATATGGCTAATAAAGTGATCTCTTATAATGTGGTGCACTGACAACTGCAGCTTTGGCTGACACAAGTGAGAAGTCGTACAATGGCAGACCCTGGGCTCTGATGCCAGGCTATGGGTGCTTCCCAGTAAGGACAAAAGCTTGTTAGGATTGAAGGAAAAACATAATGGAGCAAAGGAAAGGCAAATACTAGAGGAAAACCTGTTTCAGTCTGTTTAAACCTTTGGCCCATTCAAGTCCTGACTTGTATCCTACTGGGAATCTGTGGAAAGAATTGAACACTGCTGTCTACAGGCAATCCCCAAGCAAAATGAGAGAGCTTGATCAAATCTACCAAGAAGAACGGGCAACAGCTGTACAAAGCTAGTGTGCAAAGTTGGTAGAGGCTTATCACAAAAAACCTATAGCTGTAAATGCTATTAAAGATGCATCCAACAAGTACTGAGTTCACTGAGTTAATACTTACACAGTTAAAAATATTTCAGTTTCTTCTCTGTTTTTGTTGACACTTAAAAATAAATGTACGCCTCATTTTGTTCGTTCTCATAATGGGACACCACAGCAAGAGTCTGAATATGTTTGCATTTTACATTTTGTATGGAATATTTTTTATAAAGTTTTTTATCTGTTAGCATCAAAAATACTCCACTAGATAATATTTTTTTTTTACAATTTGTAACAGCACTGTTAAACACTACTTTGTTAAGGATACACTATTATAAACAAAAACTTACTATACCAATTTTCATTATCCCCTCTAGGTGTTTCACACACTTAATCCTGTTTTTTTTTAAACCAGATCTTATCTTCAGTAACATCTGCATCTTGAGATCGCTTTTATCAGTCTTGCCAGCCAGCTACTCACCTTGTTTGTAAACTTTATTGATCTCACGGATTTCTTCATTTGAACGGGACGCCAGAATCTCAATTAAGCACTGCTCGTCTGTACCGGCTCCCTGTTACATCAAAAACAAACTGCACTGTTTCATCACATATTTCATGCATCCACAACATTGGATACAAAGAGATGAATGTTTTCCTTCTCATTTAAAAAAAAAACATTTTCACTGAGGGATACACTGTAAATTACTCTTTGTCAGTCTCTTTTGCCTTTAACAGTGATGAACAGAAATGATAAATAATATATGAAGACAACAAAAAGCCTTTTCTAGCCACAGTAGCCTCAAGTTAAAAAGCTGCGTCACACTTCCACTGCTCAGGTAAAAGCTGGCAAACATGATCTGGGATCTGGGCATTTCCAGATCTCCCCTCGCTGGAGTCGTGGTTTTTATTTCGCGTTTGCCCATGACAGACACAAGGCTCCACCAACCTTTATGGCATCTTTGATTTCATAGACATCGAACATCACTGGGGTTTTCAGCATGGCCAGCACAGCTTTCTCAAAGTTTCCAGAAAGTTCTGATTTCAAATCTTTAATTAAATCCTAAGGGGGAAAATGCGCAAAAGAAAAAAAAACAAGATTGAAATAAAAAATAATACATTAAAAGACACCGTGTGATACCTTCGAATGAACACTGACAAACAGAACACAGAAGGTGGTTTTCAGGAGGAGAGTCACTATGTGGTGGTGATGTAATAAATTTTCTTACTCATTCAACTGACTTTTCCTGGGATTATGCTGGCCTGGGAAAATCCACAGCAGGCACCTGCTGTTTTGGTCTTACCTTCCCATAAGCAGTTTTATAGGTAATCACAAGGGGCACTCGCTGCTTGTTGGAGCGGCTTCCAAGAAGATCAATAATAGCTTGCTCATCCGTGCCTGGAAAAAAACAACAAGCACACTGACTGATTAAATAGATCGGTTATTTACAGATTAATTTAAACACAGTTAACAGTTCCAGGGAGATAACTAAATAGCTCGATTTTGACTTTGAGTAAGAGGAGATTTGTGCCATTATTGTGGTACTCTAATGTAAGCGTATTACACAGAGCAACTCACCAAAGCCCTTCATTGCCTTTCTAAGGACTTCTACATCCTTCAGCGGGTCTGCGCCTGGGAAGTCTTTGATTGTGCCTCGGTAGCCTCTCTAATAAAATAAGTGATGATCAAAGTGTTACAGGAAATCTCACTTCACCCCTGTGAACAGCCTAGTCATTATGTTACTGTAAATGAAAATCAGAAAATTGCAAACAAGTTTATCGACACTCTCAGTTGGAGAGCTCAAGATAAAGCTCTTATGCTACTAGTACTTGAAACCATATGATTCTCTAAAACAAAATCGATCTTCTGCTCCTTAAGACTGCAGTCTTTCATCTCAATTGGGTTTCCCCATTTTCTTACATTTATGGGTGGGACCACTGGGGCACCAGGGGTGCTTGATGGGTAAGCAGGCATTGATGGATTGGCTGCAGGAGCTCCTGGAAAGCTTGGCATGGGCTGGCCAGGGGCAGGACCACTGGGATATCCCATTCCCTGGGGCATGTTTCCTCCTGGTTGCGGGTACATGCCGTAGGGCTGCTGGCTGGGGGTAGGCCCCCCGTATCCCCCTGGCTGGGCAGGAAAGCCACTGGGTGCTTGGGAGAACATCGCTGGATTAGGATTCACTCCGCCCATGGATGCCGAAATCTGGTCAGCCTGGTGACAAGGATTACATCCATAAGAAAAGCCAGATCCTGCCCACTCCTTCCTAACAGTACAACAAAAATCCAAGCTGATCATCAAAACCAAACATTATTACAGTAGAAATTTATTTTTAAAAACCCTCTCGAACCCAAAGCGCACAAGCGACAAGGAGCAACATTAACTCAAACTATAACAGACATGGTGTTAATATAAGAACAAGAAGCACTTCATTCTCCACTGAAATGTAAGAACACAACTATCATCTTCAGAAGTGTGGTCATTCTTTCTTCTGTTTGTTTCTCTTGCAGTTTGCACAAAGAGATTCAAGCAAAAACAGCGAGGACACTAGTTTTGTCAGTTGCAATGAAATAATAAAGAGTGGACAGCTAGGTTCACAGGCTGCTTATCATGAACACCTGCAAGTGAACCTAATCAAGAGCACATTGTCACAGTCAAGATAGAAGAAGAGTCTTTCAAAGCTATTGCAAAGTACCAGACTGAAAAATACTTTCTTTAAACATTATTCAGCACTCAGGTGTACACTGTAGACTGTACTGGAGGCATGACAGCAGCTCCAGGACATGCTATTTTAAGATAATAACCTGGATGCGTGACTTCAATAGCTGGTGAAATTTGACTCCATATTCTTGTAAAATAGTTCTGCTTTTTGCTTTCCTGTTTCCCTAAGTATGGTGTCATATTAGGTACTGCTGGTTTTGAGTAGTCACTGTTAAATGCAATGCATGGAAAACAAAACTTGGATCCCAGAAAACAAACACCTCCATGGGAACTGATGCAATTCCCCTTATGTTGGATGTGAAATCTGGAAATGTGTTCCTGCTGCCACCAGGATATCTTGGGAAGGTAACATCGGACACACTGGCATAGGTCAAACAGAACCATGCCCAAATTAATAGTTATACCAGTAGTAATCATCCAGGTGGATGCTGCACATTGGTGGTGGTGGAGGGGAGCCCCCATTACCTGTAAAGCGCTTTGAGTGGAGTGTCCAGAAAAGCCCTATATAAGTGTAAGCGATTATTATTATTAATACAGCTTTTTAAAAAGAGAATCTTTTCTCTCACCACCAGCCATGTCGGATCTCTGTTGAACTCACCATTGCTCCGATAGAGCCAGAGGTGAATCCAGGATTGGATAGATTATCGAGTCCGATGGAAGAAAAGCCAGGTGCACTGCCCCAGCCGGACCCGCCGCCTTCAACAGCAAAAAAAAAAACAGACATCTTGTACAAATCCTGATTATTGGTCATATACTGCTGATCTTATACCCAACTAAAAACTGTTTTCTTTAGAAACCCAATGGACCATTTTTCAAGGCAAAAATAAAATCAGAGAAGAACCCTGATGCCGCCAGTGGAAATCAGGAGGGACTGCGCATATCCACAGTCTGTCTCCATACACAAAGATTAGCGAAAATTGAGAAAGACCCATGGAGCAAATCTATACTGACCAGCAAGAGGGCAACATAGGTCATTTGTAACTCTTACATTCTTATAATGAAAATACACTATTTCCACAAAGAACATTTCTACACTACAAACGTTCGCTTTAAATTGAGTAGAATTTTAGCAGCCCTAGCAGCAGAAGAATTTAGCTCTTTGACATCTATATACAAAATATAATAGTACATTTTATAAGTATTTTTATGGAGATCTGTAAAATTGTGTAATGCACTGCGGTGTAATTTCAAAGGAAGACAGTAGTATGAAAACAGTGTGGCTGTCTAAAATATACAGTGCTGTAATAATGAACAACACAGCTCTTCTGTCCAGTAAAACAGGTTATAAAATTCATTCAATGGGAACTTTTTCTTTTTGGGGTCCTTTTCAGATCAGCTGCTGCCAAAGCAACATGCACAGACGTTAACTGTCCTGTCTCGATGTGCCCGTCTCGAAGTTTGCCAGAGACCTGTGGTTTAAACATGATATAATTTCACACTAGTGTTTTTTGGCCATTATGAAAACAGGCTCATGATATTTTCTAAGTAGTGTAACAAATCTGTTGTAGATAAAAAGCCAGGCACAGGTTAGCGCTGGCGCATCTGGAGGAAGAGACACTTTAACCACCATGATGGTGGTTGAGCTTGTATAACTTGCAGAATACGAATAAACTCCTGTGGGACTAACCGGCAGGAGGCACAGATGGGTAGCCACCAGAAGCCGGGGGGTATCCACCAGGTTGTGGAGGGTAGCCTCCAGGCTGAGGAGGGTAGCCGCCGGGCTGAGGGGGGTATCCACCGGGCTGGGGTGGGTATCCGCCGGGTTGAGGGGGGTATCCACCAGGCTGGGGTGGGTATCCGCCGGGCTGAGGGGGGTATCCACCAGGCTGGGGGGGGTATCCGCCGGGCTGGGGGGGGTAGCCGCCACCTTGGGAAGGATATCCTGGATAACTCATCGTTTAGCTCTGGAATGGAAAATATTATTCCACATGTTAGGAGAGATTCCTCTCGAAACTTTCCAAACGCATAAACCTTTCCTTGTTTTGATCTGGGGAAAAAGACCAGTGATTTCTTAATGAATAATTTCATCACAGCAGAGCTTGAGCTTTTTTTTATCTTAGTGTTCCGGCAGAAGACGAAGAAAAAAGGCTCCCAAGGGTGAGAGGACTACAAGCAACGGCAGAATGTGAGCATCCAAAGTTCTGGACAATGTTAGCTCAGCTTTTACTGGAATTAATTCCAACTAGAAAAACAGAAAATAGAAACAGTAACTAGGCTGGAAAGCGACGAGGCCAACAGCTTGTGGATGTTAACATAAATCCAAACAAAATAGTTTTAGTTACTGTATAAAGCAAATATACTGTTGAGCACAAAAACTGTTTTTTTTAATGTAGTGGAAAAGGTAAAATAATAGATGCACAGTGACAGTGGATGCTTAATAGTCTCATGTTGCTTTAAACCAGCTTTCAGGCCCAAGTGAGAGATGGTGAAGAATAGATCAACAAACACAGGACCTTGACATAAAATAAAACTAAATTCTGACCCTGTGCGCAATTCAGCATCGCTGACCAGTGTTTTGGGTAAACATGCTGTCATTGTTATCAACTTGCATGAACAACACGCCTAAAAATAACACTGCATTATTCACTGTACGCTTTGTACCAGATATGGAAGACCTTTAAAGAGGTATGAACACAAATAAACAAATGATGAAGGAATCCTAAACCAAGGCATGAAAAATAAATTTTGGTCATAATCATAATTTTTGTCAGGTTTGATAATATGCTCTTCCTTTTTTTTAAATTTAGTTCAAGTTTATTGTCATTATACTCATACACAGGTATAAAGTCTAACAAAATGCTATTTAACTAGCACTCAGACGGTAAGTAGTACAAAAAAAACAACCATACAATTGTATAAGAATAAGACAGAGACAACAGGCAATGTGCAAAACAACAACAGGTAACAGGTAGTATACAAAACAACATCAGTTGTGCAAAATCATACATCACCAGAATGAAATAAAGGATAGAAAATTATGGGGAGTGAACTTCTTGACATGTGAGGTAGAGGTAGATTTCAATGTGTGTTATAGTTCTCATAAAGAGAGAAGGCACTGTAAGGGTTCAGATCGTAGGTGAGAGAGGCTGGGTGTTTAATAGTGCGGAGGTAAAAACTGTCTCTGAGTCTGGTCCGGGCCTGAATGCTCCAGTATCGTTTTCCAGATTGTAGAGGGTCAAACAGTCTGTAGCTGGGGTGTGTGGGGTCTTTGATGATACTAAGAGCTTTCCTCAACCACCGTCTGTCATAAAAGTCCTGGATGGATGGGAGAGCAACCCCAGTGATGGACTGGGTAGTTTTCACCACCCGCTGTAGGGCTTTGCGGTCAGCAATACTGCAGTTACCATATCACACTGTGATGCACCCTGTCAGTGTGCTTTCTGTAGTGCATCTAGTAATCTAGTGAGGATCTGGGGAGATATCTTAGCCTTCTTCAACAGTCTTAGGAAGTACAGGCTCTTTTAATTAGTTGTCCTTAGTTTTACATATCTGCAGAACATTTAAATATATAATGCAAACTAGATTTGAGAAATCCACTTCAATACAACATCACACACAGAAAACGATGCCAAAGAGGAAATTCAACACTAGCTAATTTGCGCATGGTACTATGCAAATTAGCCTACATTGCCACTATATATTCAATGACACAGAGACCTTAGCTTCTGTAACAGACAGCTTATTTAAATTATTTTTTATTTCAAACTCAGTTCTATAAAATTAGGTTATCTTCAGAAATAAACTGTGCAACTGAAAACACTAATAGGAAGGGCAGAATTCTCGCCAAGGTCAATTTTAGTATTAGCCGGCTAACCAGGCCCAGATAGCCCTGTCAGTCTCATGCCTAAACTTAGCCCTGCTGAGTAGACAAGGCCACTATCTTTCCAATTCACTTAACGGGGCATGGCTTATTTCCCTGCTTGTGTCACAGACACATCCCAGAGAGCCTCAAAAATCACAAGCCTCTCTTTCACTCTGGCATGAAGCACACAAATTCAATAAGATTATAATGTCCATTGTATTTGATCAATGCCAGAGAAGTGGACCCGATTCCCAATGTGGGGAAATTGCCTGTCAAATTCAAACACTATAAAGTGGGAGTTTACCAATAATAAAGGATTTCTAAATCAGTGGGGAAATATTTACATTTGTATTTCTATTTAAATTTTTAAGTAAATAGCCCACATTGTAAAGACAAAATATACATGACGGCAATTTTATTTTTGCAAATTGAGCTACAATGAACAAAGAGTTATTATCTGAAAAGACTGACAATTCACTACAAGCATTAGACTTGACAAGAGTAATGTCTAGACAGCCTAGTTTTCAATGTAAATCCAATCAATTTCATTGGTTACAGTGAACCTGCTAAGACTGGGATCCACACTTTGAACCCCCTGTCACATCAAATGCATTAGCAGCAGTCATGGAGGAATGGATGCTCAGACACACTCTGAACTTAAAAACTTTTCTTCATTGAAAAGTAGATCTAATACAAGACCACCTATTTCGGGAAGGCAGCTGTGTAAGAGTTAAGCAACCTTGAAATGCATGCACTTCCTTCCTCATCAATGTTACTCTTAAATCTCTAAGAAGCGAACACTGGTTACAAACGGAAGAGGAAGGTGTTTGGTATAATGTACTCTTTCAAGTGTACATTTTAGGAACTCCCGAGGAGTAGTTGATGTTTAACGTCCCTCACAGGAAAAAGTACACTAATTTAAATATTCAAGCGTGCCGTCAGCGACACCTGACCATGAATCAATGAACTCCGTGTGCGTGGGTGGGTGTGTTGTGTGGCCCTAGGGCTTTCTTCACCTTTAAACTCGACGGAAGACTAGATTTCTTAAATTGGGTACATTACAGGTAGCCAACATTTACAAAATAGCTTTTTAAAAGATTTATAACGTAGCATAGTAATACTAAATAACTCCTTCTGGACAGCAATGCAGTTAAAAGTTTTTAATGACAATTCCTTTATAAATGAAAGCAGTTTATTTACGGCCGTACTAAAAGTAAACATCCTCTAAACTACAGTAAACCAAAATTGTCGCAAGCACAACTACTGCAACAGCGCAGAGAAATCGATGTCCCAGACAGCTGCAAACAGCCTCAGTGGTCATTTTCTGTTAAAATCCTTACAAAATGGCAGCCTGGAGGAGCGTAAAATTCAGTACGATCGTGTCGTGCCTATTCTGCAGCCGTAAACTACACCTATATTTAAAAACTAAAGACGTAAATACAAACTGTAAACAAGCTCAAACGGCTTCTTGTGGTTACAAAACCTTACAAAGCAATCCATCTCTTATTTGTTTTTTTCGTTACGGATTACCGCTCTATTTTTAACCATGCATTAAAGTTGCATTTAGCAAGTAAAACATTACATGAGAAAATGGGAGTCTTTTTCTTGTTGAATTGTTGTAAAGTAACAGTGGGACCCTATCGCTCCGTACTCCTCTAAGAAACCCACAGTTCACCTTAATTAAATTTTAAATCTCTGCATGTTGCAAACCCTAACAGAACACTACTGTCAGGTCATAAAAATAAAGAAATAAAACTTTTATCAACGATAACACTAACCTGCTTGCCCGTGCTTCAGGTCTTTTCGTCCTTAAATGAGAACAGATCAAGGAAGTACTTTCGGTATGTGTTTAGCTTAAGGTGGGTGGGTCTCTCTCTCAGAGTTTCCACTGCGCCGAAGACGCCCACGGCGCTACACAAACACAATCGGGTAAGAGTTGAGCCACGGCACTCACTAGCAAACTGCCATCGTGACGTGTCCAGGTGTGGGTTAGGAATATGGTGGTGCAATAATAATGATACAGTGTGATATGTGAATGTTGAAAATGAGAAGTGCTTATTTGTCAACGATGAACATGTCGAACTCGAACTTTTTTTTTGGAAAGCACAACTGTGCCCTCCCTCTCCCCATGGGTCACAGTACAGCATTAGTCCAATTTAAAATCACGTGTCCGGCCTCCTGGTGCATTGCGATGGAGATTGAAGGTAGAAATCTGTCGCGTCCTTTGACTTTAAGACAATAAGAAACAGGTTTTCAGCTGTGCATTTTGTTTCTTAAATTAGATTTTGTTGCGTTATTGCTAACACTTTCCTTGTAATTGACAAAATAGTTATTTCTAGGTACAATATAAATATGACTTTAAATTCCTAATTTAATGATTATACGTGTATCTTACAATCCACACACACCTACCCGGTTACTGCTTTTATCTGCAGCGTCGCGGTGAGCCGTGGCCTAATCAGACAGGGTGCAAGGCGGAGCTACACTCTGGGTGGGAGGCCAGTGTACGCACACGTCAAGAGAGGGGTAACATAGAGACGAGGTTTAACCCGGAAAGCGTGTCTTTGGCCTGTTGGAGGAAACTGAAATCTGGGGAGAGTGTGCAAACGTCACACGGAATAAAATGAGGGCTCAGGAAAATGTGAAGGGACATTAATGTGATAGTGTTTTGTGTGGATTTTGGGAGGGAGCAAGCCCTTCTCCCCAGTTACTAAAGAAAATACCTTCAAAATACACCAGAAAGCATCCCCTTGTCCACTCTAATTTATACACGCATATCATAATAACCCACTACGATATACAAGTAAAGTCATACAAGTCTTCAATAATGTGACATAAATTAAGAGATAGGATATAATCTTCATTCATTGTTATATGCATTGTGTTTTTTTGGACTGCTGTTTACAAAAAAAAAACAAAACTGTGATTTTCAGAAAATAATGTTGTGAGAATTCTACTTTATACAAGGGTCAGAAAAAATCTGAGTATAGTTGGATTAAAAAATATATAGCCCAATCTTCTAATACTTTGAAAAAACAGGTTGACGTACTGTAGATATCACGTCCTGCTAGTCTCTGAATTTGCTCTCGAGCCAATATTTTCCAAAGCCGATCTTTTACGTGCCCCACCTTTTAAAGCAAAACTAGGTTTGCTTTAAATAGAGCTCTCCAATCCTGTTTTTTGAAAGCCATGTCAGAGACGCACCCCGACGACCAGCCCCTAATTGCGTAACGTTATGGAAAATACTGACAAAGAGAGGTGGGCCATATCGGGGCTAATAAAAAGAGCTGTATTTGCACGGTATGTTAATGATAAACGTGCTTCAGATGTCTTCTTTTTCATGTTCAATATGGAGTCTCAATAGTGTTTTAATATTAAAATGTCAGGCAGGTACTTGAAATATAATACGTTTTAAAGCCGCAGACATCTTTCAGAACATGATCTAAAATCACAACCCTGTACGATTAAAACTTTTGCGTGTGGTGAAGGTTCATAACCACTTTTTAAGCGTTGAGTTGTTTGGCATTCATTTTATATTCTGTTAAACTCAAGTATTTTGTATAAGAAAACAACATCGTGTAGAGGTATTTGGTGAGGACTACAGACCGATTAACCGACTGGAGGGTCATGGATTCAAACTATGGGCGGGGCATTGTTATTTACTTGAGCAGGGAACTTCACTCGGATCACTCCATTGCGACATAAATGGGTCTGGGGTCATTATCAGGAATTGCAATTGACATTTGTGGTACAATAATAATATTTATTTATGTATTATTTTAAATCTTTAAATTATCTATCACAATTGTCCTGATTTGATGATGTGTACTGAATCGAGTCCCAAAAGCTTTCGAGTTGAAGCGTGTCATACTCGAAACGCAGGGACTTGTCATGCGCAGAATTGGCACCTTGTAAAAATGGCCCTCCGTCTGCTGTAGACACAGACAGGAACCCCACCGCACTGGAGACAGGGTTTATTAGGGTCAGTGTTTCCTTCAAACTCCCAAAGTGGTGGTGAGACAAATTTCCTAACTGAGATAATTCAAGTCACCAATGAGATAAGACCAGTAGTCTATATACAAAATATTGAAAGTTTAGCACAAAAGCTTTTTCATGCATATATTGTACATTTCTTAAAATATTAATTAACTTAGAACGTAGAAAATAGCCTTCCTTTAACCAAAGAATGTTTAAGAACAAATTCTCATTTACAGTAAAATCCTCAAAAAGATGATTTTGGAATAATTCAGAAGAATCACACATCTGTTGTTTTATATGAAGGTAATCCCAGCATTTTCTAAACACAATTACAGACAGGTTTTAGTCAGCTTTGTCTGAATATATGTAAAATAATTACTAATGGAGTCAGGCATCCCATTTACCAATACATTTAGTGCTGTATTACTTTTACCACAGACTTTGAACAGCGTAAATGTATTTTGCTTCCGGTGGTGATGGCACAGGGCAAGTTCTGTGCAGGAAGGATTAAAAGCATCTGATAAGAATTATGAATTTCTAAAAGCAAAGCACTGTTTCTGCACTGAGGGCTTTTGACTGTAGTCTGAGATAACTGGTTATGAATGCTCTACATTTCTTTATACTTTTTTCAAAGGATTTCCTCTAAAAACAAATGGTAGAGAAAAAAGAATGAAACTGAAGTTTTAAGTCAGAGACAGATGTAGTTCTGTAGTTCCAAGTAATTTTACCTCTTACAACAACAGTAGATATGATTATTTTAGTCTGTCTCAGCGGAGCTCTGCTCCCAGCGTGGAATTACACCTTGTGAGCAGGCTAGGATTAATGAATAATAAATACTAATAAAACGAAGCTACAAACTGTACACAAATAGCACTGTGGGTCTGGAATTGAATAATATTGAATAACATAATATTAATTATTAAATTAAATAATATTTTTCTTACAATAAAAATAAATAACGAAAGTATTGTATTCATTGATCAATGAAGGCCTGACCAGGGTATATGAACTTCAGTCAACCTTGTTTTCAGCAGTCACAGAAAAAGTGTGGTCGGAGGGAATGTTAAAAAATAAATTCCAGCATTACTTCACTCTTCAAAAGGTTTTACTCTTGCCAAAGAGAATTAACTTGAAATTGAACTGGGAAATATCAAAAGAAACATATATTTCCCACACTGCAAATGTTTTTGTTATGGATACAAACTCTTTAAATGTGCATCAGTAATGAAAGCCAGATTGTACGTACGTTGCTTTTGCAACATTTCAATCGTGAATCTTAAGCCTTTTTTTGAGTAAGAAGGCTGAATTCCAACCATTATTAAATATGGTAAGAGTGAGAACAACTCAAAGTGCCCTTAAACACAGGACGCAAGCCGCGGCC